TTGGATTTAGCTGAACAAGGATTGCTTTACTATTTTATACGAAGTAATTTCGATAATGGTAAAATATAATGCAACATTAAGTTAATTTTATTAGATTTGAAAATATATTACTGATATATTGAAGTTTCGTTAAAAACAAATTTGTATTCGTAAAACACATAATACATTACATATTTCATTATAACATCAGTGTAATAGTTCAGGAAAACAACGTACTGTGTTTAATTACAGTGCAATTTTAGCTTTAATATAGTCCATTGAACTTAGGAGTTTATGAACTATTAAAAGCTCATTAATAATTATCAGAGCAAATTTCCTTTGGACAAGTTTGCCTGATTGAAGAAACTAACAATTAACTTTTCGATTAAATACAGAATATATTTAAATTAGAAATGAAGTGTGTTAAAATAAGCATTAAAGTTTAATATTACGACTGATTTCATAAAACTGCACCAGATTTTAAAATTAGAAAAGTAAATAGATTGCAAACTAAATTACCAGATCTAAACTTTAAATCTAAATCAATATATAGTTAGTTATATACTGTATTATAAAACAATATAATAACATATTGTTATTAATAATATTGTTAATAATATTGTTAAAAATGAACATGTGTTAATTGCATTGAATAAAGCTATCCCATGGATTTAGCTAGCCCCTCCCATTACTTAATCCCATCATTAAAACCATTGTCATTATTATATGTATATTACGTAATTATATGGTGATAAATTTGGCAATTGTTACAAAATAAATAGCATGACCTACGATCATAGCCAAACACATGCTGTACCACAGTTTGGATCTATTACGCATTTGATATATAATTAAATAATTAAATTGATCAATTAAAAAACTCAAACATTTTGACAAAGTATTTGTGCCAAAAAGAAAATTAAAACCCCTTTATTCTTGTGCTGCTATTTAATTTTGCTTTAAAAAAAAAGAAACAGAAAACAAATTGTAAAAGATTTAGCAAACTATTTTAAAAAACGTTGTATATTATCAACTCCAAAAATAAATCGAGAAGAAAATTCATAGAGGTAGGATATACCTCAGTTTCCGTATCCTGCCAATATTTCTGGCTAGACTCCCTTGGGTAATTTAACATTGGTGCCTTACATCCAAGCTCTCTGGTACACAGAAATATTGTTAACTAGAAAAATATTTTATGCTTATAAAATATTTCGTTTTAAGATTCATAATAAAACAACGTAGTAAAAGAGGAAGGCAAATTAACATAACTAATTTGTCCTTTCGAAAGGAATATTCTAATTGTAACTACAGTTTTATGATTATTTTAATAGTTCTTTTAATTTACAAGGGGGAAAATGTTTAGGATTTTTCATTGGGGGCTATTATTCATCGTGATAATTGAATAAATGAGCAAAATTAACATTATGTTGAGTAAATCTTTCACAAAGCTATGAAAAGATTGTACAAATTAAATGTCAAATTCTTATCCAGGAAGTTATATATTTTTTATTGTTCCTAAGGTATTTTTCTTGTTTTCTAAAAGTGGTGTGTCAATCTTCAAAAGTTAGATAAATAATATAATGTTTAATGGTTGAAAAAATAATTTGTTATAAGGATATATATATTGCCCTTATTTAATATTCTCATTGGAGGATACAATTGCTTTATTTTTTTCATTAGGAAAGTTATTCCTAAAAATACATATCTGTGTACATGCCAGTTTATAATACAAAAAATATTAAAAGATACAAAACTGATAAACATGTTTGTACTATTGAGTAAATATAGTCATGAGATACAAATGATGTAGCACAAGTCAATATTGATATTGTTTTGACACATGTGTTATTCTATAGCCTGCGGTTCGATGGCACGTCACACATGTGCAATTCATGCAGTGAATGCATGATGCGGCTTACAAGCCATGCATACATTGCAGCTACCTACTTTCTAAAGTATTAATCGATCAGTAACTACAACACGTGGTATGGTTAACCAAACAGAGGATTATTATAACTCTTGAAAACCTTTCAAAAAGCTTAAACATATGTTTTATTTAGCTTGAAAACTTGGCTTTGAATCAAGTTTATATTTAACTCTCGAAATAACACTTTTTCCGACTCCGGAGTTTTTAAAAACAAAAAAATTGAGCTTATTAATCAAGATTGTAGTAAGGAAATTACTTAAATTTGCATAAACTTCGATTGATTGCGATTAAATATCGGGATTTTTGCATTGGAAGTAAAGACTGTAAACTTCCTCAAATAACTATTCTTTGAGCTGTAGAATTTAAGGCGTTGCCGGGGTTATAAAATAATCTTGAGTTCTATATTGACTGATTGATACCATAAAATAATGCCTATTGGGTCTGATGATTGGAGTGTCCATTTAAAATTGATCACCACCTACATCTTTTATATGTATTTGCCGTCTTGTGAGTCAAGAGTTTCCTAAGTGTAAATATTTCAAGTGATATTTTACCTATGTTTTGTCATTTCAGCGAAATCAATTTTGCCAAGAATCTTATCTTTGGGTGGGTCAAAGACAGGATCAAATGCTAGAACCCAAAATAAATTATTTTCTTTTGTCGCAATTATTATATTAAAAAGGCCCACAATTAATTTATTGATGAACGTAAACTGACGAAAGACTTTGGACCAAGAGTATAAAAAATTTCGTTGAGTTTATCTGTAAAATATTTTTGTTTAAACTTGTTGTAACGGAAGTATAGTACTAAAAAAATCGAGGTTTTCTTTGCTAGCAATATTTTCTCACCTCCCAACATCACAAACGGGACAAACATTTCTCTAGTTCAATGAGACGTACAACAAAGGAAATTGTTTATGACGTTGTGGCAGAACACGAAAATAATGGTGTCATGAAGAACAAAACTCGTACAAAAGTACCAAAGTCATCTTTTAACAGAAATTTCTAACACCAAATGATTTCAAAATATTCATTCAGGTTGGTTATCCTTTTGACCCTAGGTAGTTCTTAGTACGAATGTGGGTAAATTTTAAATTACTGTGGCTAACAAGAATGTCTGAGTCAATTATGTTAAACAATGTAGTTCTCAATTAATATTGTTTTTTCAGTTTAAAATAATTTACCAGCACGTATTGTAACAAAATACCAAATTGTTGGGATATTTTTAGAAAGTAATATATGGGATTTAAAGGAGGTCAAAAGAAAAAATTATAAAAATTACATTATAAACTGCATATTGAGGTTTAAGCGTTGGTAATAAAAGTAGAATATTTCATGGGTTGATAACCATTGAACATCTATTTCCAAATTCAGTATTATTTATAGGAATCTAATGTTTTAAAACATCTTACGTAACTAACTATCTATGTATGTACGCTCCTGTAGTAAAAAAAATCCTACACGATTTTTATTTGCAATATTTATTGTGAGAAAGGTAAAACTTGTCCTATGAGAGAATTTAAATTAGGGTGATGTGTCACATATATGCTAGGAGTAGGGATAGCAGGAGAAATAAAAACAAAGCATAGCGGTGTTACATTTCTCATACTAGTCTTATTAACTTTAAAGGGTTCTACAGAAAGATTTTTTTAAATTACAGCTGAAACATGATTAAGGAGGGTTGCGCAGCCTAGGACCTCATAATTTTAATATAATTTATATAATAATCATCACATACTGTTTTATAATTGTAAGGTATACAATAATATCATTTTTAATATGAACTATTTAAATTTATCGATCTAGATATTTTGAAAATCTCCGTAAATTTAAAAAAGTTTTCAATTTCAAACATGAGTAAAAAACCATCATTTGTGTAAATTATTAAGACTTCAATTTTGTTATTTAGTATACGTAGCTACTGCTCTACTACTGATTTCAAATCCTATTTGTATCTTTATAAAGTATTGTCATCGATTTGCATTAAAGATTACGAGTATTTGAAAACTGTTTTTTGCTGTTAATGCTGTGGTCTGTTAGACCACTGTGGCCGTATGAGTTTTTCTTCGTGCAAATATATCTTGTGTTCATTGTTTATATCTTGTGGTTCATCCGGTTCATCAACACATATGCATCAACGTATACTAAATATATTTGTCGTATAAAAGCGAGGTTTAAGGGCAGAATGTATGGTGAAAGGAAGAATACCAAGAACTATATGATGGGATCAGGTCCAGCACACATGACTCTTATGGGCATTGAAGAAGGAAGTGTTGCGCACAGAGACAGATGGAGGCACTGTGTTGCTGAGGAGGTGTTGCTGAGGTATAAACAAAACTCCCAAAATTTTCAATTATGTATTATGTACCTTACATAATATACTATCCCCTCTCGGGAATACTCTTCTTTTTCCAAAACAAACATGTGATGGTTGAAAAATTGTTGAAGTTTTTCATTTGTAAAGTTGATGCAAAGTTGTTCAAATCCATTGTACTGATAGGATTAAAATCGCAATGTTAACTGGTCACACGTACTTATGTATATGTATAAAAAAAACAATTATGTATAACAAATTTCAAGTCTTATTCTTTCAAGTTGTTAATTAGCTCCAAAGGTGTGTACCTTTGTTATAAAAATTATGAACTTTCGAAAAACGTGGTAAAAACCGTGCACAACCCTGTAGCACGTACCGCAACCAATATTTATCATAAAATAGTCCTGTCCATATTGAGGATCATAATGCTGCCTCTTCATCAACTTTCTGCGTGAGTCTTCTTTTTCTTCTAGCTACTCTAGCCTACTTCATGATACTTTCAGCTGCTTTATCATTTTCCCACAAACATTTATTTTTTATGTCATGAGTATACTATTTCCACTTTTGAAGTTACGCGGACTGAAAACTATCAGTCGCGATGTTTTCTTCCCTTTTCTTCAAAGGGCTTACTTCTGAAGAACATATATGAATGGTATACCATTTTAAAGAGAATTAAAAGGAGAATAACGATCAACAAAAAACAAAATTTCTGTAAATAAAAATCTAACTATGGATGTCCAAAAGGAAAAGGATCTGAATGTAGATATTTAAATGGCAGAACTACATCATACACACATGTATTATTAACTTATAAAGGTTCGTCTTCGGGATAGTTTCAACTTTCTTAAGGAGGGGCGGCGCAGCCTGGGGCAATATGCACCCAATGGCATGTAACATGTTGTCCGTGGCCCTCCCCACAGCCGTGGCAGCTGGCAATAGTGGCGCCACCAAGAGTACATTTGGCGCAATTCTGGTTGGCGGCGCAGTCGCAGCCTTTGGTGTCATTTTCGTGACTGCCGGCTACTAAACCTGGTAATAAAAATAGTAAAATATTTAAATACAAGACATAGTTATAATTTATTTTAACATAAATATACAACAAATAAATAAAAATAAAAATAACTTAAAAATGCAGCCTTTGTCATTATTTTTGTGACTACTCGGTTTACTAAACCTGTTAAGTCACATATTTAAATACCTAACATAAATATAAATGAGTATAACATAAATATTCTTGTGAATAAGTAAAAATAAACATAAACATTTAAAATGCCCCCCTTCTCATCATATTTTGTGATTAGCAGTCACCCTACATTGCCCTACTAAAACTGACAAATATTGCAATACAAAACATGAATATAAATAAGTCTAAGATAAATACACAACGAACAATAAAACAAAAGAAATGCAGCTATTGTCTTAACTTTTGTGACTCCCGGCCAATAAACGTGGTAGCTATAAAAACAGCCAAATATTTTAACACAAAACATAAATATAAATGGTTATAACATAAATATACAACAAGCAAGCAAACAAAAATTACCGGTCGCTAAAACTGGCATTATAAAACAGTCAAATGTATTAATTTATTTCTTTCTATCAACAGCTTTACTTTTTGACAATAATGCATTGATATGCCTCAGTTTTTCAACATATACAGTTTCTAATTTAAAATATTTTAAGTTTAAATATCCACCAAATATAGTAATAAATTGGTGTAGTGATAACAGAAAAGATTTTAAACGTGATAATGTCGAGGTACGCAGAAACTATATAACTTTATTTTATTTTAAATGACCTAAATAAATGCGATCAAATAGTAAATAATTTGATACCAAAGAGTAGTCAAGAGTTGTTAATACATTTTCCTTTATTATAAAGTAGTGCTAAAGCCTGTTTTTACATTTTAGGTTTTGTCATAACTTACTAATAATTTCTTATGTCATCAAGTTTAAACATTCTACTAAAGAGTGAAAATATTTCTGAAAGTCCATTTAATAAACTAATTAATTCAGATGGTCGACAGTATTTCTTAAGTGATTCTTTTAAGCTTAATTACTAACCTTATTTAGCTTACTATTTGGCTTAACCAGCTTACTCACTCAGATTGGTTACCTATCTTCGCTGCCTAACTTCACAAAATATTTTTAATATATTTTTTACAAAAAATAAAGTTTGAATTTTCCTGTGTTTGCAATGATATAAGTATTTTAATGCAAAAGTATTATAGCTTTGCTTGATGAAGTTAAACAACATGAACAATTTAATATATATAATTAACTTTAAAATTGTAAAATGGATTGAAGAAAGTAATCAAACACAAGACATAAGGTATAGGATTCCCATATTACTATTCAACAATTTGGCAATTTTATTTATAGGACCTAATAACCAGACTAAGCACAATAATAGTAGAATTTTGTCGGAAACATGATGAATTTAGTATTTTTTCCAAACAAAAATTTCTTAAAAAATGTAAAATAAATAGAAGTTTAACAACAAAACCCAACGTTATATACTGTATATATATATATATATATATATATATATCTAATTTTCATTATACTTACCCACAGCAGCAATGACGAGGCATAAAATGAAGCTAGTGTAGAAAGACATGGTTGAAATTGAAAGTTGTGTCTGAAAGAATGAGCTTTTATAACTACTCATTGATGGAAAATAAGGAAAGAGTTGGTAGTTCTATTCAATTAAATGTTGACATTAGCATTTTTGTTGCTATTCAACGTGTTCTTAAACCAACTTGAGACTTTCAAAGATATTGTAAAATACCCATACCACCTGCACCTGAACATACAATGTTCAATGTGATAATTTGTGGATCCCTTTGCAAATGAACTGAAACATAATACGCTGACACAGGTATTAAATTCGAACGCGATCTAACTCTCCAAATCCATTTTTATAAATCGATCGTATTTACTTAGTGGGTAAATAACTTCTGACAAAATAGGATGTTAGTTTATATGTGCTGTTGAGACCTAAATTCTTTAATAGAAATTGTAAAACCTTTACAATATCTCTAAATAACGCATTTTATTCATATTCCTAACGAAAAAAATGTTTCACTTTATAAAAATTATAAGTAATTTTATTCAATGTAAGGAAATAGTTAGGGTTTCATACACATTATAAACGGTCTGTAATATCGTGAATAATATTTTAAATAGCTATTATTCCATCCTGACGATATTTTATCACTTTACACTATGACAAACCGGACAAACATTTCCATTGTTCAATGAGACGCACAACAAAGGAGATTGTTTATGACGTTGTGGCAGCACAAGAAATATCGGCATCATGAAAAACTCGTACAAAAGGGTCAAAAACATCGTTCAGACGTTCCAACAAAAACCGCTTTAAAAATATGGTTTTTTGATTTTTATCGGTCTTACGTATGAATTTTTACTGTTAAAATATAAGTGGTAATTTCAATACTATACTTGTATCATAATTTATTAAAACGGTAATAGTTTGTGGAGTTATTTAAAATGCTTGTCAGTTTAAAAACTATTACAAAACCCGCTTGAATTATAAATTAAAATAGTTCAAAAACGAAGCACACATCAGCTGTTTTTCATTGTTCTGAGGCTATTTTAACATTATTATTTATTTTATTTAATCGGATATAAGATCGGATAATATCAGGGAAATAAAAGATAAAACCTTTTTAGGGCCTTTCCGGGTACCCAGACACAATAAAACCACGACGTGAACACTATGACTTTTATCGTGATGCAATTTCTTCAACGTATAAGATAATTTAACCTCATTATCACCAAATATCGATTTCAAACCAAAAATACTTAGTTAGTTATGTATGTTATGAATAAATTAAATATTTAAATGGATTGTTTTCTCTTTCAACCAGACCTAAGTACTCTACTACCCACCATGTTTTAATCTGAAGATGAGTTGAATTATAAAAATAATCTTAAACCATACCAGAAATAAACATAATTATTTATTCATTTTATTTAAGAACTCCAAAAAGGTATTGAACAATGTTCTAAGCCCTACTATGTGTGCAGGTCTGCTGCTGTGGAAAAATATATTTTATATGACTACAAAAAATTAATTAGTCTTTTTTACAGCAAAATGGTTAAATATTTAAAAAAGATTGTTTTCTCTTTCAACCAGACCTAAGTACTCTACTACCCACCGTGCTTTAATCTGAATATGAGTTGAATTATAAAAATAATCTTAAACCATACCAGAAATAAACATATTTATTCATTTTATTTAAGAACTCCAAAAATGTACTGAAAAATGTTCTAGGCCCTACTATGTGTGCAGGTCTGCTGCTGTGGAAATATATATTCTATAGGACTACAAAAAATGTGTCTTTTTTACAGCAAAATGATGTACAAAATAGGAGATTCTGTATAAATCCGTATTTGGTAAACTACCAGCTTAGCAGTACAATACATTACGTTTTCCAGCTCATCTACTCTCCGGATACCGCCGTCTTACATTTCATTCAACGATAACTTTTCTCAACTGTGTAGGTACACCAACAAATATTACTGGAGAAAATTTATTTTTCGCTAAAGTCACAATAATATTACATTGCTATTGAATATTTTAGTAGCATGCTTTTAGTAGTCCGTCGGAACGCATTTGTTCGTAAACTTATTAAAAAGAATGTTGCTTTAAATATATATATTTAAATCAAAATCAGATAATGTGTTACAAAATTATTGTGCATATCAATACTTGACAACGTTGATAAAACTTTTTGTCCTATGGATTTTTTTAAAACGAAAAGTAGCGGTTACTGAGCCTAAGTGATTTGTGACTATGAAACAATATAAAATTAAAATATCTGAGTGGCTTATTGCCAATCCTTTATATAAAATAGAAGATTTTTTATCATGCCCTGTTATTATTAACTTTAAGATTTAATTCATGTTATTGACTCTAATTGTTCAACTCTATGTATCGTTACTGTTAAATTAGCATTTGCAAGTATTTGTAATTATTGTTAGAATGTAATGTATTTATTTAATTTATGTCTGTATTTATGGATCAAAGGCAATAAAGATTCTTGATTCTTGATTCTTAAGCCTAAGGCAAGATGACTCCGAAAATTGGACTTTCCGTATAGGAAGTCTGTTAAATATACAGTTGTGTCTGAGATCAAAATACTACTACGGTAACAGCTGATAGAATATGGAAAATATTCGCTAAAACTACTATCCATAATCAAATATACTCATATCACTGTAGCAATACAATAAGTAGTATATTTTTGTAAGCAATAAAGTGTATGACTATTTTTAATAAAAATTACATTTAATATCATAACGATTGTAATATACCTGAAGTGATGTTTTTAATTTTCCAAGATTAAAGTGTACAAAACTAGATGGACGGTAAAGATAATACGATTTTGAGATTAAACGAAAGCACCAGATTTGAGCTAAGTGTTTGAAAAGGTTATAATTTCATTCCAAGCTTTTAATTCCCGTTGAAAGAGGGATAACAAAACAATGTAAATTATACTTTGCTTAATGAGTTTTTATAATGTAAAATCTCTGAAAGAATGGCGTTGGAACAATGTTTAATCACACATCCAAATTACATTTAGATTGGAATTGTTATTTATCATATGATATTGTCTCTACTGTACTACAGTGATGATTACAGTAGTTTTATATTTATGTGTGTACGCAAAATAAATAATGTTTAAAGATTAACTTGTCTAGGCTTAACCGTAGGAATTTAACCAAAAAATGTCTAAAAGCTACTAACTATTTTAATAACAAAACTTAAATTAATAGTTTTGAGATACACGGATTTTTTCCGATACCTTCTATATTCATGCCTTAAAGAATGGAAAAGGCAGACTCCCGGACGTATTTTATTGGCATAAAAAGAGTAAAAACCACTGTTTACTTGTCAAAATAAAATAGGTACTGTTTTAATACTTTACAAATAGATTGATTCAAATGTACGATACTGTGAAAAATGGATAATACCAGTCTTTACATCACGAATGTATATTAATAATACAAACGTACCTGAAATAAAAAACAAATGTATAGTGTGGTAGACAATTTCGCTCCATGGATTAATATATCACACCTATATCTATTTGCATGTTTTTTATTAGTTAAGAAGTAAGATACTGCTATAAGCAATATATCAAAATACCAAATTGCTTTAGGGATAGATATTTATAGATATTGAATTCATGTTTTGTTTTGTTTATATAATACACAGAAGTAACGTAACAGAGGTAGAGAAAGCCAAGCTTTAGGTTCCATATCCTGTCAATATCCCTGGATAGACTCCCTTGGGTAATTTCACATTGGTGTCTTTATATTCGACTTCCTTTTTCATATTAGTGAATATTACAATACTTTTGAAAAAAAATTCCAACTTTAATTAAATTATACATCAACTTCTTTCTTTACTAACAATGTTAAGTTTTTCCAATAAAAACCATTATGCGTTTATATGTCATTTATTTCACTTTTCCACTACCGGTAAGTCCTTTACATTAAAATCAAGATATTAATATGTTATTATTGAAATTCTACGTAATTGGTAGTTTCTAAAACGCAACAGTAAGATCCCCACTTTCAAATTTAGGACTGGATTTTCACTAGAATATTTTCTTCAAATAGTCAAATTTATTTCCTATACAAATAATATTAGCTTTGATGAGTACTTATGTTAGCTGCTACAGGAAAAAATATACAGTGTGTATTTATAAATGTTTGCATAGCTTAGTAAAAAATAAATAAACGTTTGCTAAATATGATCGACAAAAAAATCCATAAACAAGTAAAGCTTATTTGTTTCCCATAAAAATGAGGCATAAGGCATTTTGCACACTCAGTTTTTTATGCTGTTCGTAACAGTTTTTATGCTGACTTACAAATTTATGTTCCGGTGGTCCAAAATGAGAGAATCAATTTTTTATATATAAAATATATATATAGGCCTACATTATTCTCCATATAAAAATCTTACTAAAACGTATATAATCGAAACATTTAAACGAAGCTTTAGACTTCCAACACTACCAAAAGTATTCCTCCATGCAAAATACAAAGGTATTAGCAAAACTGTAAACCCACAAAAGTTAAAAGCAGATGTTTAAACAAGATGATTAAAACAGAACTTGCTTTAAAGCCCATTGCAGCTTCTACTCTAAAAACCTTTCTTGTTGTGTTTTTAATAAAACAATTGCATCGACACCTGTGAATAATGTAAAAAAAATAATCATTAAATACTCATGGTTAAATATTTTACGTATTACGAATGGTTAAACATGCAAAAATAAAAATAACTCATTGCACTTGGGGTTTTCCTGTAAAGCTCATAATGTTTTCTATTTGTGGATATCTTTATAACCCTCCGAATGTGGAACTAATACATATTTTCTGTGTGAAACAAATAATTACTCACATAATCAAATGTTGTTAACAAACATTGTTTTAACAATACTGTTTTATATAAACTCAACATTTCTTAATGAAGTGTGAGTTTGATTATGATTATTATGTATGCTTGTACATTATGATTACAAAAAATAAAATCACCCTGTTTTTCTCTGTATTCCTTTTGTCAAGACAATAAACAATTCTTTTTGACAAATAGGGACTGACTTTACACATAAATTCAGAGGT